TGGTTCAATGTCCCCAACCTCCACAGGAATGCCCAAAAAGCTCCACCGGAGGTTTGAGTTGAAGGCCTCCTGAACTTGGGCCTCCTCCAGACGTTCCCAGTTCACCCGAACTACACGTTTGGGCTTACCAGGTCTATCCAGAGGCTTCCCCCGCCACTCGACCCAACTCACCACCAGATGGTGATCAGTTGACAACTCCGCCCCTCTCTTTACCCGAGTGTCCAAAACATACGGCCTCAGGTCCGATGATACGATAACGAAATCGATCTTGGACCTTCTGCCTAGGGTGCTCTGGTACCACGTACACTTATGAGCATCCTTATGTTCGAACATGGTGTTTGTTATGGCCAATCCATGACTAGCACAGAAGTCCAGTAACAAACCACCACTCCGGTTCAGATCAGGGGGGCCGTTCCTCCCAATCATGCCCCTCCAAGTGTCTCCATCATTGCCCACATGTGAGTTGAAGTCTCCCAGCAAGATTAAAGAGTCCCCTTCAGGAGCCCCATACAGGACTCTTTCCAGGGTCTCCAAGAAGGCCGTATACTCTGAACTGCTGTTGGGTGCATAAGCACACACAACAGTCAGAGTTTTCCCCCCCATAACCCGCAGGCGTAGGGAGGCGACCCTCTCGTCCACTGGGGTAAACTCCAACAACGAAGCACCTAACCGGGGACTTGTGAGTATCCCCACACCCGCCCGGCGCCTCACACCTTGAGCAACTCCGGAGAAGAATAGAGTCCAACCCCTATCCAGAAGTAAGGTTCCAGAGCCGACGCTGTGCGTAGAGGTGAGCCCAACCAGATCCAACTGGTAACGCTCCACCTCCCGCACAAGCTCCGGCTCCTTCCCCCCCAGAGAGGTGACGTTCCACGTCCCCAAAGCCAGCTTCTGTCGCCCGGGTCTGGTCCGTCGAGACCCTCCGCTTTCACTGCCACCCTTCTGGCAGCACACCCGACCCCATCGCTGTTTCCCGTAGGTGGTGGGCCCGCGGGATGGAGAAGCGGAGGTGTTGCCCACGTTGCCTTTTCGGGCTGGGCCCGGCCGGGCTCCGCGGCAAGCCCGGCCACCAGACGCTCGCCGACGAGTCCTCCTTCTGGGCCTGGCTCCAGAAGGAGACCCCGGGCTTCCTCCGGGCCGGGTATCCTCACTTCTTGTATCGTCTTTCATGAGGTCTTTTGAACCAATCTTAGTCTGGCCCCTTGCCTGAGACCAATTTGCCATGGGAGACCCTACCAGGAACACAAGGTTCCAGACAACACAGCCCCCAGGTTCATCAGGGCACACAAACCTCTCTACCACGGTAAGGTGCTGGGGTGCTTCAGCATGGCAAATGCTTGTCAATAGAAATTATGTATAGAAAGCAAGGTTTGCTTTCCCTGTAGACTTAGCTGTAAACTATGAGGAAAATAGTTTGTTGTCTTTATCTTCACTTTGAAAAATGTAAATAGTCCCTTAGTGTAAATCTTAATAGAGGAATTAAACTGATTAAACCAGTGATGAAATATAGCCTACTTGTCAATGAACCCAGTGTAATCCAACAAAGTGAAAATTAATCTGAGACACAAGCAGTTAATAAAGTGAAACAACTTTAGGAAATAAATACAATTTAGTCAAAAAAAGCAACTGTGGGCCTTTAATATAAATGTTTAAGTAGATGTTGGTTTGTATGTGTGTTCCAAACCTAGGTCCCTGTTCTGTCATGTTATAGATTTGGCGTGTGTGTCCGAGTGTCTGTTTTCATGGTTGCCCGACAATACAGCCCGAGCCTTTACCAAGGGCTCCAGCAGGAGCAGCTGACAGAAATAGAGCCGGACTCTACCCAACCCTCTTTCGGGGCAAGGGGGAGAGGGTACATAGTTTGGGAAAGGGCAATGGAGCAAGATCACCAGAGTTCATTGAAACTCAGAGGGAAAGTGGAGGAGGGTTGTTTACATTGCTACAAGGTTGATGTGAAGGAAAAACAACTGAATGAATGGCAAACAAACATTAAACATGTTCTCTACAAGCCAAGATGAAGCATTTTAAATCAGAAAAAATAAAGACATTGTGACACATTTACACCCTTTTTGTCACAATTTGGATTAAATGCGATGTGTGATGCAATTACTTAATTGTTTTTTATTGTGACTTTATTTACTACTGAACTATATGACATGTTGTCATGTAGAGTTGATCGCATTTCTAAACAGCAGAATAAGTCTTATCACTCACATTTTTACACACTCTTTTGCCCTTGCTCGGTGATGGATACCTTGTGCACTGACTTACTGACAGGCTTATGTGTCACTGTCACATGTCCAGTGATAAACATGCCAGTGAGTTTCTCCCATTGAGCAACAGATTACAGCAGTGGAAAAGGTTTCTTGACGTAATCCCAGTTATCAGTTTGCAATTATTAACAAATAACCTGGGGGCCAGCTACTGCATGCCATGAGATCATAGTTGGCATGAGGTTTACTTCATATTTAAGTGGCCATGTTTTCACCATGATATCGTTCCAACCTGAGTAGGGCGCCGCGAATGCCCGACTGCCTCTGACAGCCTCTGACTCCCAAAATCGGGTAGGTGTGTCAGGGCCTTTAAAGGTCACTGCCTTCCCCAGAGCTCTTTTTTGGACACATCTGCTGTTTTGGTTGTGCTGCACATTTCCACACACCCATACATGACTGATTACTGACCTCCATGTTTGTTTCTCAGTTTCTTGTTATGCTGTACATAAATCTGCAGGGCTGTAACAAAGTGGACCCCAGGCATCAGCTGCTTAACACACAGAGCTGGAATTACCCTAAGCACTAAATCGAAGTAGTATCCAAAGGTTCCGCTAAAACAAAGGCTCACTTCAAGGAATAGTTAGGGCTGCCTAAGGGTGGAGGTAACAAACCCAAAACTGATGCTTAAAGGATTGAATCACTGTCCCACTAACACACTTTCTGCCAGAGTGAAATAGTCCATACAGGGTCAAAACATCACTGCAGTCGTTCTATCTAACCGTTTGACCAGAAAACTAAACTAAACTCCACCCTGGTCTTCAGATGCTACTTATAAAAGGTATGTATGTGATGTAGCTGCAAGCATGATAAAGCCACCAACAATTGGCTGTGCTCCCAAAACTGACAAACCAAATGCACATTGGTGCCCATCGCAGGATAGTAGGCCACATGGCATAATAACATATAGGTGTACCGGTTTGTGTGCATGTGGAACAAAAGACTCATACCCTCTCCTCTCTTAGTGCCAACCAAAACACTGGATTATCATTTCCAATATAAAATAACCCCCTATGCCCGAAAGGAAATATGCACATTTTAGAAAGGCAGCCAAGTGATAACGTATGACCCTGACTTTGTGCAAAAGGTCACCTAGTCTGTCTGGGTCCAGAATTTGATTTAGGGCACAGTAACATTTGGAAGACAGCCAGTTTACATTGCGAGATCTTATTTGATGAAATGTGGTTAGTCAAATACTGAGCACATGTTTGACCCTGCTCCGAGATAATTAGTGAAATCATGTAATTCTGAGCTTCCCACCCTAAAGTCGGTAGTTAACGTTGATGGAATGCAAGGTTGTTGCCAGACGAGTGCAAGGCCATGGGATCCGACCAGCTGAACAGACTGACCTACATCACTAACCTACATATGACGCATAGAGACCTGCTTATTTGTATTTACCTTGACATCAGCAATAACTTTCCAAGTTTTGGGGTCACCAGTGTTGAAACAAATATTGATGCCATTTATTTTACTCAAGTTAACACGTACTAATTCACGATTAAATATCTGAGATAACTGCCTTGTTGAAAACCAGCAGGTGTGTCCCCCCCTCCTCACATTGCAGAGTGGTTTCAATATGCCTGGCCTTTGGAGCTGCAGCTGACCTCATTCCTAAAGGCCATCTCCTACAGTCAGACGGCCTAATCTACAAATCAGCGTCTGAAAACAAACAGACGCACCGAGCCCTGATCCTGGTCAAGAGGATGAATACATAACAGTCCAGGGGTCTGTAGATAGCCTTCAGCCTCTCAGCACTGTATGCTATTGGTGCACTTTGATTCTAATACTGTACAAAGGTATCATGACTATATAAGTTTTACATTTGTTTCCAGGGTGACTGAAACATCTGTCAAGGAACTACATATGAAAAGTGTGCTCTTGGCTCACCTCAGCGCATCTACAGCAACGTTTAGAATGTGGATTGTTGCTATATCAGATGTTCACTACATGATTATTGTTGCCAAAATAATTAAGAATAATGTATTTGATGCAGAAAATGGCATGAATGTTATCAGTACATTTATTTATTTTTGTTTGTGCATTTGGTCTAGTTTGGCAAATTAATGACACTCAACATATGGGTGCAGTACTCAGGGTTGTATATAGTAGCTAAAACTCAATAAATATTCAAGGAATCATAGGTAGGTGGAGTATGTAAACATAACTACTAAATCACAAAATATAATAATTTGACATCTAGGCATCAGTATGAACTGATGAACAAAAGAAAATCACATAATCATATTAGTATTCTTTAAATATCAATATTTATTTCAGTTATAGTTGATACTGGCATATTGCATCATCCCGTATAAGAATGATTTGTGGTTAATTAGTCATTTCAGACTGTGGCATCTCAAGCAACAAAGATTATGCTTATGTTTGACTTAAATGCTAACAACTTAGCCTGAAGCTTAACTACTTAACCAATCCATGACAGAGGGGCTAAATCTGTCTGTGAGGGGAGTTGACTCCAGTGCACAAAAACACACCATTCTATATGTGAGGCCTTATGCAACTGGTTAACTCTCAACAGGTTTCTGGGGCCACATAGTTTTCCATTACACAAGACGTTATAGACAAGCTCTTATTGAAATATAGGCAGACCTTAACAGACCACAGATTGACTCAGTGTGCTGTTATAAAATAAACGCATTGAGCTTCAAGGGCCAGTTCGGGAAAAAACATTTAAATAAAGTAAAAAATGTGTGAAAAAAACGGAGGGTCGTTGCATAATAAAAACATTTTATTCAGTTTACATAATAGATTCACAGGACAATATACGTTTAATAAAAATAACCCACACAAGCAGTTTGACAGGTCTGAATAGCCTTTATTTGAAATTATTCACATTTCAGCTTTTCCTCTGTACAATACAGAGTAGAGCTGATTTTCAGTAGGCCCTGACCCCCCGATATTAGGAGACACTTGCTTGCCCATCACAAAGAAAGTAAGCCATCCGTTTGGGAGAAATACAACAAAACAACTGATGCCTGCAGTGAAAAACTCTACATCTCTTAATGTAATCATCTCATATTCCCCCAACTTAAAAAATAGGCTACAATGTTATTTACAAAAGATTTTAAAAAAGTGAAATCAAAATGAATTGTATTCAATCCTGCTGCAGCTCTGAGGTGAGTGAGCAACCAATCATCCCGTTAAATAGCATTTCTTTGCTTTTTTTAGGGTTCAAAACACCCTATAGTTCAGTGGTGGGGGGGGGCTGTAGTTGTAGCATCAAAAATGCTACAACTACTGTCACAAACTGGATGAATGTGAACATTTCTATCAAAGAAAAAATTATACATTTTCGTATTTTTATGCCTTTAATAGCTACTAACTTGAATTTTTATTCAAATGAATTAATCAATTATTTTTTATATTGTATTGTAATGAAGAGACAAGGCTTTTAGTGACAATCATGTATTGAGTTACAATTATATGTAAAACAATTTTTTTTTTCAAAAATAAAGTCTAAATATGATATTTGGCCTCAAATCATCTGAGGCCTGGCGCCCCCCCTGCGATCTTCCCCCCAGGTTGGGAACCACTGCTATAGTTGAACTTTTCTTTTTGGTTCCTCACAAAAGCGCTTAAAAAAAAAAGGTGAAAAAAAGCTTTATATGTAATGCATGACAGTCATTTAATGACCTTGGAGGTGTTTTAACAAATAACTCTCCACAGGAGGTAATAATGGAGCTCAGATGTCCATCTCAAACTGGTTGTCATCTGTGGAGGAGAAGGAAGAGGAGAAATGGTTAAGGAGGTATTTGACAATCAGCTGACAGTTAACATGTGTTCACAGCCAAAGCACAGCCACGCCTTAACGGACCGGAGAGAAGACGACAAAGTACAGACCTTATCGATGCTTTCATAACTGGTGAGATAAACAAAACAAAAACAGTGGACTGAATGGGTGCAGCTGGAAATCCAGACTACGTGTCCTGTTTGTTTACCAACCAAGAGAGGGAACACAAGAGGCAAGGGTCCAATCTAATCCCTGTGGACTCTGGTTGACACGGGGAATGGAGGGTGACAGTTTGATGTATTTTCCTCAAATATAAATATCCGTCTCAACTTGCTCATGAACCCGAACCTTTGGTAAACACTGCCGAAATGAGGTGTCCTCTCACAGAATCAGGAAAAAAACACATTTACTAAATATACAATAATATTGTCACCCCTCACCAATAAATTAACAACTGACAGTAAAATGTAGAGAAACGTTCTTAAGGCGAGACACAGCAGGCAAAAACATCGTTTTTCATGCACTGGTCAATTTTGAGATTTTGTGCTATTTTGATTCCATAATATGTTTTCTTTCAGGCTTTTGGAAGGAAAACGTACAAAATACACATTTAAGTGTTTATTTTACTATAGTTTGTCTATTTGCGTCTGTAGATTTCTCCTAAATTCACCAAAAGTTAGCATTCTAGCGTAACATAAAGCACCGCGACCGCTGTTTGCACTAGGGCTGCTCGATTATGGCAAAAATCATAATCTCGATTATTTGGGTCAATAATTGATATCACGATTATTAAAAACGATTATCCATTTACTTTGAAAACATCAATTTATTGGAGAAATGTGAACAGTATGTTTTTAACAGTTGATTACCCTGAACTTTAAAGTATAATTCGATTGAAAAAAAAATAATAATAAAAAAACAATTGTTTTATTTCGATTACGTTGTTTTCGTAGTCGTTGCAAGCCATAATTGTAATTGCGATTAAAATACGATTAATTGAGCAACCCTAGTTTGCACCATGTCATCAGAGGTATCGTTGGAAAGCTCCGTCTCTCCTGCACAATCTCATCTGATCCAAATATGGTCATTTCCTTTGTATCAGCAACCAATCGTCAAACAACAAAGGGGTCTTAAACCAAGAAACAAAATCTCATTGGCTGGTGTCAATTTCTGACAACGTGATTCGTTCAGATGCGTCACGTGGTGTGCTAAAACACTTCCTGGTTAGCTTTCCGCTAGAAATTGAAATCTCAAAATGGCAAAAGAACGGCGAAAAAAACGTTCACAGAGAAGACGACAACAATTGTCACTTGCACGAAGCAAGGTTATACAAAAAACAAATGACCCCGAACATGAAATACCGCCACGGAGTGCGTCGATGTGCAAGCTATCATCCAAAGAACAGGAGGGTTTAGCTAGCGCCTCACTGCAATCTTTAAAGGTCGTTTTCTCAAAACGAGTTTCTTCTCCTACTCCGAGTTTGAAATGTCCACTTCAGTAGCACTTACATACACCAAACCTTCCAGTTATATTCCTATCAATATTATGAAGGCTTTTACAGAAGGGTTTGTTCATATATCATCATGGCCTGAATTATATAACACGAAAATTGATATTTTAGGGCTGTTAACAGTATTTTCTGATTTATGGAGTGATAAAGAGATATCCAAAATCCCTTCTGTAAAAGCCTTAGATCAGGGATGGGCAAATGGCGGCCCGCAGGCCGCATGCGGCCCCCACCTCCTCTTTTTGCGGCCCTCAGATTAATTTATAAACAACGTAATTAATAAAAAATGTAAATATATTTTTGTTTTACTTGTAGTACTGATACCGTCCACTAGACTCCTAGTTACGTCCCGAGCTGCGTAGATTATTTCAAATACCACGAAATAATCTGTGACGCATTTGTGTGTATTGTGTTTGTTTCTCGGGGAAACCCTCACAAGAAACACCGGCTGTTGTTATGCCTGCTGTGACGTTAAATTGCCTCTTGTAATTATGCCTTTACAAGCTTCAAAGTTGTTTTTATCATCTGAATTTGGGGAAACAAGTTTAATATTCTTAAAACCAAGACTTTGTTTATTTGAAATCAGATGAAAACAAACTGTAACGGACCCTGCCGTGTTATCTATGATTACTACGCTTTTCATTCATAATTTCAGCGGGAGGGAGGGGGAGTGGTGCTGAGGAAAAGCAGAGTGCGGGCTGACAGGTGTCTGTGTTGACATTCCCCTTATTGTGGAATAAGGGGAATGCAGAGACAGGCTACAAGTGTTTTAGGTTCAAGTTAGACAACTAATGTCTGGGTTAGTGTTCATGACTTCATGTGTATGTCATCTAATGGTTAATCTCAATACACACACATTTTCCGTGCTTTCCAATAGTTTAAAAATAGTTTTATTCCACTGTTTAATAACCTGTTCAATACAAACATGCCACTTGTAAAAATGAAATAAAATGTCTGTGAACTGATATTTGTTTAGTGAGCTTATTAGAGGATGTTCCCATTTTTTGGGGATGTTCCCTTTGATTGTAAAATGTCAATGAAGATGTCAGACTTAGTATATTTGTTAATAATTACATACAATACATGGCATTTTTGTGTGTGTGTGTGTTCCAAGTGAATCTGCGGCCCCCGGGTGGCCAGTACATCAATGATGTGGCCCCCACCACCATCAAAGTTGCGCATCCCTGCCTTAGATACTAATATGACTATAAAATTAAACAAGAATTTTGAACCTGGCTTTATCCAAAGTCCAGATTTCAGTTCCTGAAATGTGTTAAAATATGTGCATATTTCATGCGTTAATGTTTCATTTGCATATTCAAACATGCTTTTTTAGAAAACTTGTAATACAAAAAACAATTGCCTTATTGTAAGTAATTAACTGGAGAAATTTCTAGCTGATATCTTTAAGTTAATGTGGCATTGGGATATTTTTTTTTTTAACCCTCTGGAGCAGAGAGAGGAGCTGTGGATTATTGCTATTGATTAATGCATCTGTGTTTCTTATGCCCCGGCCACACGAGGACGAAAACGGCTAAACGCATAGGATTAACGCAAACGCAAAAAAGCTTCCATCCACACGCAATAGTCATCCGGATAGTGTCTGTCCACACGAGCCAGCTCCATTTAGCTCCAACCGCTGGAGAAGCTGCAGTACATATGCAGGAGCCTGTACGTGGCGCTGTAACTTCCTCCACAAAAGCAGCGAAGAAGCATGGTTGTCATGGTTGCCCTTCTGTTTATTCTCCACGGTGGGGGCCAAAAGGGAATCGGGCAGAGTTTTTCGCCAGTCAACGTGTATTAAAGTTTAAACCTTCCGACAAAATTATAAAAGTGCCGGTCAAAGGTCTTCTTTGTTATTTATTGAGCTTTAAAACAAATGAATAACGACTCTATATAATATAATAATAAAATACACGGAGCCTCTCTTTTTCCTCCCTCTCTTTGGACAGCGCCAGTGTCTGTTTCATGCAGCAGCTGATCCAGTAATGAGTGACCCGGCCGACAGTAAAAATAAACATATTTATAACTAGTTTAGGTAGTTTGAGAGGTGTCTCCGTCCTGTCAGAAAGATAAATAATCTGAATTCAGTGTGCAGTTTACTTTGACGCGGGGGTGAGCAGCAGAGGTGGGGCGAGGCGGGGCTATTGCCTCATCATTATCAGAAAATGATCGTATATGGCGTACACACGGAGCCGTTGGACCCCCCAGAGCGTTGCGTATGCCGTTCTATCCACCTTGGGACCCGTTATCGTTTCCGCAGTCGTTTAGTGCCGTATTCGGTCGTCCTCGTGTGGCCGAACGGTCTATATGACACTAAACAGTAACGCAAACTACCGTTTTCGTCCTCGTGTGGCCGGGGCATTAGGGTCAAAAACACTGAACTCACAACTTAAAATGAAAGTGTTCAGTTTATTTAATAAAAGAGCACATGTTCAATGTGAGAAGTGACAGTAGATATAGATTAGTTGCAATTTGGTGCTCTATATATATATATATAAAAAATATATATAACAAATAAAATAAAATAATTATTTTTTATTTTTTTAAACACCTTGAATTTCAGGGGGTCACGGGGCTCCGTTGGCGGGGCTCCGTTGGCGGGACGCAGCGGCCCTCCAAGACAATGGTAGGGGAAACACTGGGATATCTGATGGTGATAGCTGCGTTTTGTGATTATTGCGTAATAAGTCACTAGCCTAGTTTCCAAAGCATGGTAATACCGATGGAGTCGAAAGACTGAACTAACACGTGGCGATAATGACTGAGCACTCCTGTCCCGACCCTCAACACAGTTGTGCTGCAAAAAAATGCAGCCATGATATTGCTGGGACACATGCTGCACCTGACTGCAGTACATGTGTGATACTCATGACAACGTAACATTCAGTTTGTATCTAAAAGAAAAAACTTGAAAACAGGGCTGCACAGTTCATTGAAATTCTATCTTAATTGCACTACGGATCTATATTCAAATCACAGGAAGCACAATGTTTGTTAAATGCTAAATACATGTTTATATATTATTATGAATTAAGTACTGTGGAGCTGCAGAGTTATCCCAGCCTACAGACTAGGGCTGTGCAATTAAATCGCATTTTAATCTCGATTACGATTTTGGCTTGCAACGATTACGAAAACAGCGTAATCTAAATAAAACGATTATTTTGCTGCATTCCCTTTCGCAATGATGCTCTCAATTTGTCTTGCGTTATAAAGCGTGCGCTTTCACCCCTCCCTAAAAGCCCTCTCAGCCAGGTTGTGTTGTGGCTTGCAGGTCTGTTTAATAAATCCATATAAACACGTTACAAGGGAAGCTTTAGTTGCCGTTTCTTTATTCTCCGGTCTCTAGCGTACAGTCAACTTTTGCTAACTCGTCAAGCCGGAGCCTCTCTTCCTGTTTCCGGATAAGGGGTTACCAAAATAAGAGTACTGCGTGTAGTAGTATAATTAAACATTACAGGTTGTGAGTGACATTAGTTATCATATTTATATATGTTCCGTAGGTTGTGGAAGTGCGCTCCAAAAATATTTGTTGATCTTCATTGGTATTATTTATTTAAAATGTAGATATTATGTATAATTTTTTTTAAAAGTTCAATAAATGGATGTTTTCAAAGTCAATGAATAATAGTATTTAATAATCGTGATATCAATATTGACCAAAATTAATCGTGATTATGATTTTTGCCATAACCGAGCAGCCCTAGTACAGACCGAACCAAACGTATGTCTGGTAACGAGCCTCTTGATAATTTTTATATATTTTTCAATAATTAACAATCGCTTTTAAATCGTAATAACCGCAATTATTTATTTTTGCCCCAATTCCTGCAGCCAAACACATCTGTAAAATCATTCTATGCATCGGGAAATTGATGTGTTGTTCACCTCTTTCAAATGAATTATTTTGATTTCATAAAACCACAAATGAATTAATGATATATGGACATGGACTGAACTGTGTGTTTACTGGTTAAGTCCACTCGTAAAAAGCAAGCGATAAATAGTTGCATACCTGCAATGTCTTTCTCTTCCTCTTCCTCCTCTTTGAGATCCTGCAGTTTCCCCATGGGGTGTGAAGCAGGTACTGTTACCCCGGGGATCTGGGGCAGACAGCATGGGGGGGTCCGGGCGATAGGAGAGTTTCGACAATCCATTAAGAACTTCCTGTCGTAGATGATGCGTGTACCTGTGTTTATGAGAGAATAAAAGAAAGAAAATATTGTATTTGTCCTGGGGTAAACAAATATAAAACATACCAACTGCTGGAGTATCTAATTTATGATTATTGTTACAAGTGCATCATGGCTTGGTGCACATCTGGGGAGTGTTGTATCAGTATCCTCTACAGGAGGGGGTTTCAGTAGGATTCTGTTTGCGGTGCAGAGGGGAGGGCTGCTATGAGTTCTAGGAAATCAGAGTACAAAACCTTCTCTCTTTCAAGGGAGAGGCCTTGAGATTCAAACCACATGTTTGTCCTTTAACTGGGGAAACTCGATTGGCAGATGCTACATGTTTAGGTCTGCATCCAGGAACTGCTTTTCAAGTTTTTCCTCACAGCTGTGCCACGTATTAATCTCCACACAAACACTGCTGCAACTCTCATGTGGTGAACTCCCAAACGGGAAAAAACAGCCTCATAAATGGTGTGTTGTGATAACTTTGACCAGGATGTGACTCGAGTCAAGGAGGGGACGGCTGCTTCTTTATTAGAGTTTGAACTAGCTCAACCTCGACACGAGGAAAAACAAGTTATGTAATAGCTGTGGTGAGCAGCTCTTCCAGGACAAAGGGAAGCGGAGGGAGAACTGGGGCGAGGAAAGAGGGCTGGAATGCAAGCTATAGGCTAGCAATGCATTTAAAGCTTTAGAGTGGGTTATGTAAAAGAGGGGCCGGGCTAGCAACACATGGCAGGACCCTACTATAGGGACATGAGTTGCACATAAAGAGGAACAAGTCGAAACTGAGTTGCAAGTTGTTGTGCAATGTTTACCATAGCGATCAATGTTGGGCACACATTAAAACGGTGTTTATTTACACTTGTCATTGTCCCCATGCATTAGACATTTCCTTTGCCCCCCCCCCCCCCTCCTCTTAACTTGTACAGAATGTTCTCTACAATTCCTGAAATGCAAAGCAGCCAGCAGAGGGAATAGGAGGGCCTCCACCTCCTCCACCATGGCAGAGGCCAATCACTGAACACAAACACACCCTCTTTAAATCACAAGTCATGGGTTAGACAGCTATGTTGTCTTTAGACTTACGTGTGTGTGTGTGTGTTTTCGATACAGCAACAAGTGACTGTTCAGCCCTCAATGCGTGTTTGTTTTTTGTCAATTTAAAGGTTCAAGCTGCCATTAGAAAAACATACTAGACATATCTGTTATTGTGTAGTATATTACATTGTATTTACTTGCTTGTAAAGCGCTTTGACCACCAGGAAAATCGCTATATAAATGTAATGTATTATTATTATTGTAGTTTACAACGTTATTATATAAAAAAACCCTCTTTAGCTCAATACTAAGTGTATGTGCATGTAATCTATGAAAAAGTACTTTTCGTTTCCATCAAAAAGCATTACAAAAAGCATTGCAAAAAGTCCTAAAATGACAGTTAGCTTGTTGACAACATGAGAGCTGCAGCCAACTGTCACCGTGCAGAATGTGAGCTACGCGACATTTGTATGTACTTATCCTGTCATTGGTAAATTATAGTTAGACAACCACTTTGACACGCGTTTCAACTACTCTTGTACTGTTTGCAGCTTCTTGTCGTTGGGTTGTGTCCATTTGCACGAATTCACACGCTTTTTTTTTAGCTAACTTGTTCTGGAAAGTTCCGTGGTGAAAACTCATTTCCGAAAACAACAGTAGCCTGGGTGAACCCTCGAGAGAAAGCCTTGCACCCCGCGAGTCTTACCTCCAGGCGTGGTGGAGAACAGGGTGCCCCCGGGTGTCTGGCTGTAAATGTCGGGTAGCTGGGACCAGTCCTTCAGGGTGAGCACCCTGGTGGGGATGGGGCAGCTTTTAACTTCATTTGAGCCGGTCGACATGATAGCTTCTGCGTGGCTGCTGCAGGCGGAGTGGGACAAGTTACAACTGTTTGTCAAAGTCCTCAAACTCGCTATATAACCGTATATAACGCTCGTGTACAGCCTTGAACGCTGACTTCAAAGTTGTAATTGTTTTACAACTTGCAGAAATGAAAGTAAAGTTGTGCTTTAACTTGTAAACAAAGAATTCCAAAAAGTTCAGAGTATGGGGCCCGGTGATGTCCGTCGCTACAAGCAGCTACTAAAAATACCATGTGCAGTATTTGTAACACACACAGCTGAAGCAGCCACTCGTGATGTTTTGCGCAACAACCATGAGACACGTGGTGGTGCAACGGCTTTGGGTGCGAAAGTTTTTGTATAAAGAGACAGTCCGTGAGGGCGGTGGTAACATTTAAGTGAACATTTTTTAACACTGTTAAGAATGTAAACACTATCACTCATTCGCCGCATACACTTCAAAATACTTATGTTCAGCCCTTTAATTTGGGTGCATATTATATTGTGAATATTGAAATTGCATCATTTTCACAGCGGGTTCAACTAAAGGGCGTCTCTGGTTCACAAAACAAGCGCACCTCCACCTCACCCGTCTACTCGACAACACTGCCTCCTACAGGTCCACTGCAAACGTTTAAAAATGTTTTTTTGTTAAAAAATATGTTTGACACAACATTAAGACAACACAATTACGTAACGTAACACACAACTTGTAATAATGGTAATAACTCCACATAAGGTACATAAGGCTCATAGACTATAGTATATAGGAAATGAGGGAGACCGTTTGTTATTTTTTTAAATCCCGCTTCTTTTAGTTGTTAATGTTTAGTTGGGACAATTCTGTTGCGCTATAAAATAAAAACTACTTTGCAATTTACATTTACATTTTCAATTTGTTTCAGGTTCCCCACGAATAAGTTATTCTCATTTTTCACCGCTTGAGGGCGACATCGAGATGAAGCTGGTTTTATGCATACATATTGCACTATACTGGGCGTGTGTTGTTGTACAATTACAAAGAGGCTAAAAACAACAGTTTCTAATGAACGTACTAAATAATATTGGTTTTAAAAAAGGTAAAATGCGTAAGTCTGTCAATTCGCTTGCATTTCGTGAAAGGTTTTGGAGATACAAATATTGCAATATGTAACCAGTAGCGTGGCGTGGGGAAAAATGTAGGGGAAGCCCATTTTTTGGGTCGGGGGGTGGTCAATAACGTAACCAGATGAGTGATTACAGCGCCCGGTATCATTTGACACACATTTGTATCACACAGATGCAGGACTTGCACACGCCTGTTATCTAACCGACAGGTCCGCACGCACTCTCCAGCTGAAACTCTCTCCTTATTAATTTAAGCATTTTACTTATTAATGTATGCAGACAATCACACAATCTATGTGATTTTTGGATTTACCGTGCCTCTCAATTGCCCGTGACAGGTTGGCAAGGTCGATGAATCCTGAAGTTGCCCAAGGATTGTTCAGGGAGCACGAATCCTTGTCAAAAAGAAGACATGGCCAGCAAATTAGACGCTGAAGTTTAGCGCTTCCAGTTAGCCACTCCGTGCGGACATAATTGTCCTCATTGAACGTCCGATTCTCTCCCTTTTTCCTCTGTGTACACACAGCTCGAGTGCGGGCATTGGCCTGTCATCTGATTTAATTTGTAGTTGCTGCTGTAGCGGAAGTTTAGTAAAGTTATGTTTGATTAAGTACGCCAAATCTCCACCCTCCATAATACTTCATTTGCTTGATAATTTCTAACGGCGGTGATGACAGTTACAGTATTAAAACTGATGTTGATGTGATTTGATTGGATGGCAGTGTCCAATCAAATCGCCAGCCGCCAGCCGCCTCTGAAGGGAAGCAAGAGGCGGCTAGCTTCCCTTGGCATGGCCCTGACCAATCACAGGTTGGCAGGGGCATCACGTGGGCCTCATCTGATTGGTCAATCCCTCCATTTTTTTTCACCAAGGGAAGCTAGATTCGGCTGGCCTCCTCTCGCAACAGTGAGTGCAATCTACTGTTTCACCATAACATCTAGAGGGGCGCTGTTTGTTTCACTCTTTGTAAAATACTCAATGAGAATGGGGGAGAGCCGGGCCGGCAGCAACACACAGCAAAGGAGAATTATCGAAACAAAACAAAGTGTTTGTATTTATTTATTTAAATTATAACTACAATCCGAAAAAACAGGGGAAGCCTGGCTTCCCTTGGCCTCCGGGAGAAAACGCCACTGTATGTAACTTACACCGTGTAATTTGAAGATCTCTGATGTGAACGAAAATGCGTTTATTTCAGAGAATAACTATTTGGATTCTCCAATGCACTGAGACTTGTATTGACGCAGAAGACACCTTTTGCTGGGTTAAGTTTCTGGGTTAATATCATAGACTGTATATATAAAGGTTAATATACTACCTAAATGTTTATATAGCCAATAAAATAAATAACATGTAGTTTCATTTTATTTTTTGTATTGATAAAGGTGTTTTTTCTGTTATGTTGGACGTTTTTTACGTCTTAAGTTATTAAGGTGTTCAAATGATATATTTTTGTATATGACCTACTGAAATATATATATACCTCTCTTCACAGTGTTTTGCTATATTTTAATCTAAAACAAAAGAGGGGGCATGTAATTCATGGGTGTATAAAGTGAATACCCTTTAAATAACATTATTGACACAACTACGTGACGAGCACAACATCCGAGGAACAGAGCAGCACTTTTTTCCTATCCGGGCAAATCTGCATCGGCTGCTGATTGGTCCAGAAATATGGAATCAGATGACGTAGTAGTTCCGGGTTTCTAGCCCTTCAGAAAAGGTAACTCTCGGTCATTTCTGGTAGAGACACGACTGACCCGGTTTTCTTCTCCTCTGAAGGTAAGAAAGCCTCCAGCCTGCCAGATAAGCAGGGTATCACTCTCTGGCTGACTGCTGTAATCTCATTACTGCCTAATATCTGTTTGTAGAATTATGTTTGTGCTAATTTGTGTGGGCTTCTTTGAATTGGTTTAAGCTATCCTCTGTAGCTAACGTTAATCAACGTGCCAACGGTTACTCAATGATGCTGTGTAGCGTGTGGAGGCTTTTGTCATCATCTGCGTCGCTCCTCACCCATTGTCAAATATCCCGCTAAATGACGTATCAATAGATCAATTTAATTGGGTTATTTTGAGGAAAGACATTTCTGATAGGTTCCTTTCTTATAGGTTTATTTTACATATCGCTTTTTGTTCATTCAAGAGGTTTTTGAACATGACGTTCTGTAAAAACTTCCCACAGTGGATTTGGGCATTTCATAGTAAGACATCGCAATGTATATAATTCATATTAATAATATGTGTTCTAAATGGCTACGTTGCCATGGAAATAACACATTCATAATGTTGGTTTGATTAAAAAATATTCCACCTCTTTTTTGATACCGTGTAACATAGGTTTAACACACCATGCCTCTTTAATAAGGGACCCGCGTGCCACAATATTTGCATCGCTCCAGGCATAACGCTGTATTTGCAAATAAGACCATTTTAATGTTCCAGCCCGATGCAAAACAAAAACAGGAACGACTGGTAGCTGGACACAATGTCGCACATGTTCTTTATACCCTGGGAGTGTCTGCTTCATGCTGTTATTACTGAGGAATGTTTCATCGTTGTAAACTTGTTTTATACTGCTGTGGATTAAAATCTGCTTGGCTGTGAAGGAACACGCACACGCTGTGGCATGCGAACACATCACCCCACTCTTTATTTATCTTCTGGAGTGCATCCAGATTTGTGTGACGTAGATTAGAGCTATGATTCACTCAAATGTAAATCACGCCATGTGTAAACGAAGTCTTCAAGGAAATGCTGGGAAAGGTTACAGCATCGAGGAAGGTTTGGGTAATGTAGCTGAGTCATTTTCCTGTAAAATGTTGTGAAATTCATAGCTTTCAATATCGATTTTGTAATATTAAAGTAGGTCAAACATGATAGATATAAACTACACTTCATTACACTCTTTGGTTGTATTCCTTTTTTATTTAGTTGCTCTGATGTTGGAAACCAGTTTAAAGTGCCATACTTAGTTTCATCCCCATCCCTCTGAAACTAGTAAAGAGACACACACACACACACACACACACACACACATACAGTAGTTTTGTCAGTTTACGCTCAGTACCCTCCACTGAAAGGTTATTAGCGAGCTCAGCTTGACCTAAAGTGACCTTACACTGGCCACTGCGTGGGGTGAGCTTCAAGAGTATTGTCATTGGTTGTCCGCGGCTCAATGCTTTCAGGCAAAACTCACAGTGGTGTGGTCATCGGACATTGGTCAGTCTCCTTACACACCTTCCCCCATTCATGACATATCTGATAACTTACCCTGTATTGGTATAATGAAGACCGTGAGAACACTACTAAGGGAGGGATCTTGTAATGAAACACACCCTCTAAGGATGAATCACATATAATTGTGCCTTGGAGTCTGACGGTACAGACCGAACAAGGTGAGTCTAGGATGAAGACAGAGTGTATTCTTAGTCAACATAACACACTCATATTGTGTGTTAAGAGTAGCTTATCAAGGGATTGGTTTGAATGGCTTTCAGATGGTAGATAACCTTAAGTAATTAGATTAAATCTTTGATTTGCAAATAATGGTTTTGCAAAGCGTCTGTATTTGTTTCTGAGAAGTATGCCACCACCAGACTTTCTTTGGTTACCAACTTCCTCTTGCAGACAGCTGTCGTCACATAGCTGAAAGTGGGTTTGAACACTTGAAATTGAGTGTCCTCATAGTTGGAAAGTGTTTGGATTTTTAACAGAGTGTTTGGAAATGTAATCGTCAACCTTCTGTTAAATGCTGGATAATTGTTTTCATCTGAATCTAAATCAGAGTTTGGCAAAAGATGTATGAACCCTGTTAAATGTTATTATCTCATATGTGCTTAAAAAACATTTTCTTTTAAAAGTTTTTATTTTCTGCTGTATTCCATCTTTAGGTGCAACATCGTAGGGAGAGTGGACCAAACATTTTCATACTACAATTGTGGGACAAAAGTGTTTCAGGCATTTCTCTTTCTGAGGCTTCCAGTCCAACACATTCAAATAATTTCTGGGACCAGCACACTTTTCACAACCAGCCTGACCACGGCTGCTCCATAGACCCCTTCCACACGCACTCTCCCAGAGACCAGTATGGGTCTCCAGGCAGACTCCACCCTTCAAACTGTCCTCCTTTTTCCAGTCCACTTTCTGATATGGCTGTACTCCGTCGTGTCCTTTCTTCCCTGGTACTACA